TCTTGGGCCGGCTTGGAGCTCTCTTGGGCCATCTAACCGTTTTGGTGGCCCGCTCAATGGCCTCTTGGGCCGTGCTGGGGCGGTCTTGAGGGCATCTTCGGCCGTCTTGGAGCGTCGGAAGACTGAAAAAGCGAGGAGGCCACTATTCCCGCAAAACCAAAGAAGACCAACAATTTAATTAAAACGTTGGTTTCCAACAAACCAACCATAATTCATATCGCAACTCACGCACCACCGCTGGCAGCCATGCGGTAACGGAGGCCTGCGTGACAGAAAGAATCGTAGCAACAAGTATCGCATTGGTTCATGTGTTTCTTAGTTCGGTTTTCAACAGCAATCGCAAAACAACACAGCATGAGTCCATCACGGAAATGCAGATGACGTGCTATTCCTATCTGTTTTGGCGCGCGCGATGCGCGCCAGCGCGAATCTGGGCGCGCGAATAATTTTCGCGCGCCCAGAATGCATGCCTGACCGCGGGCTCGCGATGGCTTGGCCGCGACCGCGGGGCCGACCCCTCGCAGCCGGGGGTCGGCCACGAGACCGCGCGCGCCAGGGTGGCTCAACGCGTCCAGGGGCGGCGCGCCGCCCGCTTTCGAAGGGGGTCATCGGATCTGGCAAAACTGGTTTGGCAGCGCCTTTGGCGTCCTGAACGGTGTTTTTTGCAACCTGATTGGTGCTTTTTGCGCCTTGGGCGGTGCTTTTTGCGCTGCCCGAAGGCGCGCCCGACGCCGCGACCCCCCCCCCTACCTCCGCGCTTCAGGAGCCCAAACCGAATCCGCGCCGCGGGCCGCGGGCCAAATTTCGCAACGTCGGGGTCGCCGCGGGGGTCGGGGGGCGCCATCGGCGTCGGCGTCGCTTCGCTTCCAGAAGCGCCAGGCGTCTTTCGCCGCGGATATCGCCGAGACTGAGTCAGTCAGACTGAGTGATATGGCCAGCCGATGCGCCCTTTCGCGCGCCCCAACAATCATGGTGTTTGGGCAATGAAAATCGTGGCGGCATTGCGCAACATACGCAAGGACAGTCGCACAGCCCACGGCGGTTAAGCCGCAGTCATCGCAGCCATCGCGCGCGCGGGCACAGAACCTGCGACATGCAAGCCATCAAAAACCTGAATGAACCTGCATAAACCTGAATGACCTGAACAGACCTGAATAATCAGGATTGGACCTGAATAACCTGCATGGAGCCTGAATAAACCTGAATGAACCTGAAGAAACCCTGCATGAACCTGAATAAACCCTGCATGGGCCTGAATGAAACCTGCAGCGTCCTGAAGAAACCTGAACGTGCCTGAAGAATACCTGATTTCGACCTGCATAAACCTGAACAGGCCTGAACAATCAGGTTTTGTTTATCATGTTGACGAACATTTGAAGACATGCCGCGCGTTCTTTGCGATGCCAACGAGACGGGACGCAGCGGCGTTGTCGCGTCGCGTCGCGCGTCGGTTGCGCGCGCGGGGCAGGGGCTTATGGGCCGTGACATAGTCTTCGATGTTCCGCAGAAGAAGATGTGCCTTGCTGGTCGCGCATCCGAGAGATGAGTTAGGCATCCGTTTCGTCCTCGCGACTGCCTTATACGCATCGGTGGATTCCACGTGCGCGCCCATCACTCATGTCATGTAGACGATGGTTCGGTCGCCGTCGATGGCTTACTCCAGTTCTGAAGTTGCGGAGGCAACCACGTCGCGCGCCGCGTGTCACGTGACAGCCGCCGTTGTCGTTCGTAGAACTACAACATGCGTCCCGCGCGCGCGTTGATCATTTATCGCTGCACGTTGACCTCATTGTGCAATCCGAAATCAGATCGTGCCCCGCTGTTTCAAGTTTTCTTTCAAGATGGTCTGGGCTTCCAGCATCGATCGACCAAAGCCAAGGCTCGCGCGATGCTCGCAATGGTTGTTCGAGTTAACATCGTTTCTATTGCGCAGAAAACCATGCACGCGGCGCACATCAGAACGCGCGCGCGCGCGCCCTCTTCTGTGCGCAGCGCGTATGGATTTCTATACAATGGGAACGATGTTAACTCGAAAACCCAATGGTCAAAACCCAATGTAAAATTTCATTCTCTGGTCGCAAGAGGCGACTTTCTCAATGTGCGATATGCAGAACCTCTACAAGCCAGAGCGCGCGCGCGCGCTCTTCTGTGCGCAGCGTGTATGGATTTCTGTACAATGGGAACGATGTTAACTCGAAAACCCAATGGCCAAAACCCAATGTAAAATTCCATTCTTTGGCCGCAAGAGGCGACTTTCTCAATGTGCGATATGCAAAACTCTTGTGCGCCAGAGCGCGCGCGCGCGCGCGCGGGCGCGCTCTTCTGTGCGCAGCGTGTATGGATTTTATACAATGGGAACGATGTTAACTCGAAAACCCAATGGTCAAAACCCAATGTATAATTTCATTCTCTGGTCGCAAGAGGCGACTTTCTCAATGTGCGATATGCAGAGCCTCTACAAGCCAGAGCGCGCGCGCGCGCGCTCTTCTGTGCGCAGCGTGTATGGATTTCTGTACAGTGGGAACGATGTTAACTCGAAAACCCAATGGTCAAAACCCAATGTAAAATTTCATTCTCTGGTCGCAAGAGGCGGCTTTCTCAATGTGCGATATGCAAAACTCTTGTGCACCAGAGCGCGCGCGCGCGCGCGCGCTCTTCTGTGCGCAGTGTGTATGGATTTCTGTACAATGGGAACGATGTTAACTCGAAAACCCAATGGTCAAAACCCAATGTAAAATTTCATTCTCTGGTCGCAAGAGGCGATTTTCTCAATGTGCGATATGCAAAACTCTTGAAAAGAAGAGCGCGCGCGCGCGCGCTCTGGTGCTCAAGAGTTTTGCATATCGCACATTGAGAAAGTCGCCTCTTGCGACCAGAGAATGAAATTTTACATTGGGTTTTGACCATTGGGTTTTCGAGTTAACATCGTTCCCATTGTACAGAAATCCATACACGCTGCGCACAGAAGAGCGCGCGCGCGCGCGCGCTCTGGTGCACAAGAGTTTTGCATATCGCACATTGAGAAAGCCGCCTCTTGCGACCAGAGAATGAAATTTTACATTGGGTTTTGACCATTGGGTTTTCGAGTTAACATCGTTCCCATTGTACAGAAATCCATACACGCTGCGCACAGAAGAGCGCGCGCGCGCGCTCTGGCTTGTAGAGGTTCTGCATATCGCACATTGAGAAAGTCGCCTCTTGCGACCAGAGAATGAACTTTTACATTGGGTTTGGACCATTGGGTTTTCGAGTTACCATCGTTCCCATTGTATAGAAATCCATACACGCTGCGCACAGAAGAGCGCGCGCTCGCGCGCTCTGGTGCACAAGAGTTTTGCATATCGCACATTGAGAAAGTCGCCTCTTGCGACCAGAGAATGGAATTTTACATTGGGTTTTGGCCATTGGGTTTTCGAGTTCACATCGTTCCCATTGTACAGAAATCCATACACGCTGCGCACAGAAGAGCGCGCGCGCGCGCGCGCGCGCTCTGGCTTGTAGAGGTTCTGCATATCGCACATTGAGAAAGCCGCCTCTTGCGACCAGAGAATGAAATTTTACATTGGGTTTTGACCATTGGGTTTTCGAGTTAACATCGTTCCCATTGTATAGAAATCCATACGCGCTGCGCACAGAAGAGGGCGCGCGCGCGCGCGCTCTGGCTTGTTGAGGTTGTGCATATATCGTGCATTTAGAAAGTCGCCTCTTGCGACCAGAGAATGAAATTTTGCATTGGGTTTTGACCATTGGGTTTTCGACTTAACATCGCTTCAATTATATAGGCATCCGTACATGGTTGACACAGGTGGCCGTGCGCGCGCTGGTGTACTGCGTTGCGTACATCGCACATTGAGAAAGTCGCATCTTCCAATCAGAGAATGAATTTTTACATTGGGTTTTGACCATTGTGTTTTGGAGTTAACATCGTTCGCATTGTATAAAAATCCATACACGCTGCGCGCAGAAGAGCGCGCGCGCGCGCTCTGGCTTGTAGAGGTTCTGCAAATCGCACATTGCGAATATCGCCTCTTGCGGACCGAGAATGAAATTTTACATTGGGATTTGACCATTGGGTTTTCGGGTCAACATCGTTCACATTATATAGAAATCCATACACGCTGCGCACAGAAGAGCGCGCGCGTCGCGGCGCGCGCGTTGGTATATGGGGTTGCGCATGTCGCACATGGCGAAACTCGCCTCTTGCGACCAGAGAATGAAATTTTACATTGGGTTTTGACCATTGGGTTTTCGAGTTAACATCGCTCCCATTGTACAAAAAACAATGAAGGCATTATGCCGCGCCTTCGGTGGCCTATGGGTCTCGTTCGCAGATTACAACGCCAATGCGGAAATTAATACCATGTGGTTCAGCATTGCCATCGCGCGCCACGTGGCCCCTTAGTAGTTTCGCTTGGGACATCCCCGCAGAATTGGTAATGATCAACCGTATATATATATATATATCACGTTTTTGTATTCTGCCATGATGATGTGGGTGTGCCCCGGAGCCAAGCCACCCGTTCGAGAGAATCGGAGTGCCTTTTCGCAATGCCAGTCCCATGTCCAGCGCGTGGAGTCACCAGCGTGCGACGTTGAGCCAGCTTGTTTGCCATTAGTGGGTCGGCCTTGCAGTCATCCAGCTTGAACTGCTCAATCACAGTTGCTTGTCGGCTTCCTTTGGAGCTCGTGGCGTTGACATTGCGGGTTTGGCCCGTTCTCTGCGAGACTGCGTATGTGAATCGGTCTGATTTTTCTTCGGCCGAATCGAAAGCTTTTTGGTTGGCCTTGACCAGCCCCGCTCGCTGCTTGCCCAAGCGTGAAAGGGGGCGGTGCCATCAGGCGGCCTGATGATACCTTTCCCTGTATTGCCCTTGGACATCCGTAGCCTTTTAGGCTCAAGAGTCAGGCAAGGCGTCCCACAAGCCAGAGCTTGCCTGCCACTCAGTCCAGCCAGTCTCCTTTCGTCGCTGCAGCTCTTAGCCGCGTGCACGCTCTTCGCCATGGGCAAGCGCGGCATCGCCCACGTCGGCAAGCAGCAGGACAGGATTCAGAATACCAGGAGGAGGCTCAGCGGGAAGGCCCCTGCGGATCTTGCTGCTGCGGAGGAGGAGCCTGGCGAGGTTGCTGACCAGCACGCGCTCTTGCTCGTGCGTCCCAGGGTGTGCAAGAGTTGCGGCCAGAACACGCACGAGTACGACAGGCACTGCAAGGGCAGCGTCTACTTGTGGTGGCCAAAATGCGAACGCAATAAAGCAGGAGAGAAGGTGCCAATGGGCAACGAATGTGGCTATTGCATCTACGTCAGGCAGAAATATTTTCCCGTGGGAACGAAGCAGGCGGATGTCTTGACGATGCGGGAGGAGAAGGGCACAGAGGAGCAGGAGCGGCAGGAAAACCTCAGGAGAGACAGAGCCTCGGGAGAGAATCTGATGCAGGCCCAGCACGCGGCGAATGTATCGGCGACGTCGAAGAATGAGGAGCAGCGCTTCGACGAGGCGTTCGAGGAGGGCGTGTTCGAGGAGCTCCACGAGTTCGCGGCCTCGCGAAACTTGGAGTTCGACGACGAGGAGGAGCTCATCTATTACATCGAGAACACGCTGGGCTTCGAGTGCGGCGAGGGCGAGACGGGCGTCTTCGGCGTCTACGTCGTCGAGAACCCGAAGGTCCGTTGAAGGGACTCGGAGGGGCGGGGTCGTCATGACAAGCCGTGTCGAAGAACCGAGGGGCCTCGCGGCTCCATTTCACGAAACGGCTACCCATTCTGGACTTCCTTGTTCTTCCCCGATCTCAGGACTTCTGCCCCCCGTTCCGACTCGCAACGGTTCGTTGTCATGGCTCCCTCGTCCCCCCCGGCCCCTCCGAAGGGCAGCTACCGCTTCAAGCGCGGCGTCAAGAAGGTCGCCAGCTTCGGCGTGAAGGAGAGGCACGAGGACGAGGAGAGCGCCAAGCGGCAGCATATGGAGGACACCGCAGGAGGAGTCGGCATGATTCGAGGAGTTCCCGGGCATCCTGGTCACGCGCAGGTGGGCGTTGGTGCCGGAGCATCCCCTGCGGCAGATAAGGGCGCCATGTCATGCATGTCGATATCCGACGCTTCTGAGTTTGGCGCCGCCAGTGGTGGCTGCAGCATGAGCTCTCGCAGCGATCGGCAGCAGCAGCTGGGGCTCGGACACCGCAGGCTCCAGCATGCCAGCGGCCCACGGCGCCCACGGAGCGATGCGGCCCGCTCATCGGGACCTTCACCTTCACCGAGGACGCCCTGCGCGGCTTCCAAGCTCAAGGCGTCCGAGGGCATGGACGATCCGCCGACTGCGAAGCCCAAGAAGCAGAGGCAGACCAACGGCCACAGCGTCGAGGGCGGACGCCAGTTGCTCGAGGAAGTCGAGAGCTATTGGGGGAACGCGTTGCTCTGGTCTAGGAAGTACAGGAGCCGCGACTTCGAGAACCTCCTCACCCGCTTGAGCGCAAGGGCATCGAAGACGTCGTCCTTGGACCATCAAGACGCGTCCTCCGTGGCCGAGGAGCTCTACCAGCTCTCTGTGCAGCTTGCGGATGCTCGCAACTTCGTGACGATGTTGAGGGAGTCGCCCGAGTCGGTGGTGCTTCAGCTGAGCGAGGCTGGCATCGACTTCTTCAAGAAGATCGACGATGCCACAGTGGCGAACATCTTCTCGACAGTGATGCTGACGCTGGTCGCCCATCCGTCGGCCGACGTCGTGAAGCTCGGGCTGCAGGTGGCGAAGTACCGCAAGGACGCGCCCAAGGCGCTCTCACTTGCAATCATGGGCGCGCCCTCGGATTACGCGACTTCCGTCCAGGTGAACATCATCCAGACGTTCATTGACAAGGTCATCAAAAAGAACAGCATGCAGGACTTCATCACCATCATGAGCAACTGTAGTGACGCCATCGGGGAGTGCGATCTAGACTCCATCGACACCAGCACCAAACTCATCGACGATGCCACTGGGTGGTGCCCCGCGGTCTTAGCCGACCTACACGCCATTCGCTTTTTCGCCCAGGTGCTTGCAGCCGACCCGAAGGAGAAGCTCCCGCGCGCCCTCAGGGTTATGGGAGTGCAGCTCGTGAACAACAAAGAAAAGCTCAGCTCTCGGCTTCGCGTGTGTATGCGTGTAAATGCGGGGACAGCTAACTGGGCGAAGGCCGCGTTTGACCGCCTCCCAACCTCTTCGTCAATCGGAGGCGCTGACGATTGTGTCTTGCAGGAGTCCGTCGTGAAGTCGGTGCAGCAGCTTACTGCTAGCCTCGACGATGCGTGCGGCAGGCTCGACAATCAGAACGGCATCGCCGTACTCTGGGAGCTGATCGGGGGGATGGCTGCCGACGACGAGATCATCGGCAGCATCGAGGCTTTCTCGAGGTACTTCGACGGCCTTGACGACAACGATGACACCAAGGACCCTGCCTACACCGAACACGTGGCGCTCAAGGATAAGTTCGTTCGGCAGCTGTGCAATTCAACTTCGCACATCCTGACGCACTACAGCAACTTCTCCATGGACCTCGACGGGATCTACAATGGCGTCACGTTGGAGGTTGACACGGGATGCGAGCAATGCGAGTCAGCGGATGATGCGGACCCCTTCAAGGTTCTTTCTCAGGTTGCTTGGTGCATCCTGCTGTTCGATATCCCGCCCCCCGCGAGGGCGACCATCAAGGAGATGAAGAGCAGGTGCGACGTGATCGTGAAGGTGAACTGCGTGAGGATCCAGAGCGGCCAGAAGCCCGTCGAAAGCAGCATGATGCAGTGGAGCGATGTCTGGCAGGAGGAGTCGGTGATCAACTGCGCGCCGAAGTTGCCGTCGGACTCGGACGAGCACTTCTACGCTAGCCACTTCGAGGCCTTCAACAAGGCAGTGTGCTGCCGACCCGCCAGCCAGCCGATCTTGGACTACGTCCGACACGTCGTTGCTTCGGAGAATTGCGCCAAGGCGACGCCGAAGTTCTTGCAGGTGACCTCCGAGATCAAGGACGCGTTGCCTCCAGCCGTGCAGGATCACGTCGCCGCAGTTCGGGCCTGCAACCTGATCAGGAGCACGGCGACGGCCTGCCTTCAGGGGAAGCTGGTTGGATGCATGCAGGCGACGAGCGTGCTGAAGTCGTACGCGGACGTGGTGGCCCCAGTTGGGGACAAGAAGGAGCTCGCGGAGTGGAAGCAGGTCCTCATCGGCGAGTGGGGGAAACGATTCAAAGACATCCTGAAGAAGGTCGACCTCTCGAGCACCCAGGCCTTTGTGAAGAAGTACGGCCCCGATGGCGAGAGCATCTTGGCATTGATTTCGGCGTGGGATTTTGGCGGGGAGGGCGAGCAATCGTGGCTGGCGTCGCCGACCAGAGACGCAGCGAAGGAGCAGGAGATGAAGGCAGTCGAGTCTTTCGTGATGTCCTTCGGCCCCGCGGAGCGCGCGCTTGAGGACCTGAAGGTAGCTCGCAGCTCGTTGTATTGGCTCGACCCCGTGCTGGCCAACCGCCTGGACGAGGGCATCGCGACTTTACCCGAGGCAAGGGCTCTCAAGAAGACCGCGGCGGTGCTGATGTGCAGCATCGTCTTGTGCAATGCCTGCTTGACGGGCATCGGCAAGAACGAGGCTCGGAAGTACGTGGCGGAGAAGGTCATGGTCAACTTAGCTGACCTGCCGCCGAAGTTGACGGAGGCCCTCGAGTCCGAGGGATCGACCTCGGCCTCGGCCTCGGCATCGGCGGCAGCGGCCACGGTGAGCGGCACCAGCGGCGCCGAGGGGGCCTCGGCTGAGGTTGCGCTCGAGGCGAGCGCGACGAAGCCGCCAAAGAAGAAGGCCTTCAAGGCACCTAAGTGCCCGGGGTCTGCTTGAGACGGCCAGAGGAGGATCCAAATGAGTGGTGGGATGATAGGGACACGATGGGAGGGATGAGACACATGACGTGGAAGGAGGGGAGGGGAGGGAGGAGGGCAGTCGCCCGAAGATTGAAATCGGGGGGGAAACGAAGCGTATGTTTAAGATTTGTTGCTTGGTTTTTGGGCCTGCGGAATCGTGCGAATCAGTTCCACAATGAAACAATGAAAGCGATGAGGAAATCACGAGTGCAGAAGGAGGGGAGGGGGCCACGACGGCACAGGGGGGGGACCACGGATGTCGAGAAGGGTTCCACGAGAACCGCTATCCTCAGATTTGGCCGTCGAGAGCTTTTTTTGCACGCCGCCGCAGGGTGACTAGCCGCCGACCGTTGATACACGACTGTGTTCGTGTATGGCGTGCTTTCTCTCTTCGTCTTCGTCATCATATTCCCTCCACCCTCCCTCGTCGTTTCCGTCCTTCTCCGTGTGACCCGTCCTCGTCCGACCTCCTCCCGATCCCAAATTGCAGCCCCTTCCAATCACCCCGTCTCCTTCCCTCGTAAAATTTTCTCCCTGGGTGTCGGCGGCAGGCGGCGTGCTGGCTTGAGTAGTTCGGAAGTTTCGGCTGGGCCCCCAGCCATCGTGAACGCTTGGGCGCCAGCGTGAGCGCCATCGTCGCATTCAGGCTTCATTGGCAATTTGATGAAGCCACCCCCCCACTCCACATTCGCATCAGCATCGCGCTTCATCGCCGCTTGCTCCCAATCTTGCCCGTCAAGTTTCGCACGCCTCGTTGTCGAGTCACCCTCGTGGGCCAGAGATTTGTTTCAAAGCGTATGGCATCGGATGCAGGCGTCGGGTTTGTTCATGCGACGGTGTCTATGTATGTGTCTCGTTTGTTGCAGGAAGGATGAGGGAAGGGCTAGGAACTACAAAAAAACACCAAAATCGATAACCCATTGGATGCTGTGAATCTCCAAGGCAACACATTGGGCAGCACTTCAGGCAACACCTTGGGCAATTTAATTAATATCAAGCGATGAACCTTTCAACTTCTCGGGGGCTCCTTGGGGGCGTCTTGGGGCCTCTTGCGGGCTCCTCCGGAGCGTCGGGGGAGCTCTTTGGGCCACGTTGGGGAGAAACGCTCGACATTTTGATTCGTATCCCTCTTGGGGCTCTCTTGGGCCGTCTGGGGGGCCACTGTGGCCGTCTTGGGGCCCTCGTAGGCCGTGATGGGGCTCTCTTGGGGGTCTCATTGGCCGTCTTGGGACGATGTTGGGAACCCTTTGGGCCGTCTTTGGCGGTGTCCGGATGAAAAAGGCGAGTATGCTGAGAGTTTTCGAGATGGGGCGATCTTCGCTTCTTGGGGTCCTCTCGGCGGTCCTTTGGGAGCACTCTTTGTCCGTTTTGGGCGCCTCCTGGGCCGTCTCGAAGCCATTTAGGGACGTTGTGAGGCTACCTTGGGCGATCTTGACGCTTTTCTGTGTTTGCGCTGTTTTGGCGCTCTGTTGGGACCTCGTGCGCCGTCTTGGGGTGCTGGAGAGGCTCCGGAGGGTCCCGAGATGCGTGTGGGAGCTCGTCCCCCCTGGCCCCCCTCCCGCCCCCCTCCAACGGCGTTTTGGACCCCAGGGGAAGGGGAAAAGGGGGATTGGGAAGAGCCAGAGTTTGCTCAAAAATTAATCTGGGGACCATTTTTTGAGCACCTTCTGAATGCTTTTGCACATTTGTGGTATATTTTGGAGCGTTCGTCCAACATCCCCCTGCAGGGGGACATGCCCGACCTGATGCCAGATGGCAGAGATCCAGACGTGCAGATCCTCAGGGTGGCTGGCCACCGTCTGCAGCGGCAGCGCGCCGGAGGTCCTGCGCACGGCGCGCAGCAGGCCCATCGCCCCTTCATCCAGCACAGTCGCGGCCAAGTGGTAACCTCCTCCCATCGGGTTTACCCAAAAGGGGGGTCCAGCGACAAGGGGGTGGTGCAATAGATTTGGTGTAATACATTTGGGGGGTTGCAATACATGTGGGGCGTGCAAGACATACCGGGGCGCAAATGTGTTGTTGGATTTTTGCGTGCAATGCATTACTTGCAATACAATGCAATACACCCAAATTGTCCTCCTACTCCTCGTCGCCCTCCTCACGCGCTCGATACGTAGTGAAGGTACGATCTACCTCACTCGCCAGGCTCTACTTCTCAGCGCCGCGATGCACGACGGCATTGACTGAGGGAGTCGTGCTCATCTTGTTTTGTGTCATTGTTCCTCGTAGTGATACGTCGGGCCTGTCCCTCTACAGGGGGAATATTCAAAAGTAGTAAAAAAATAGTCTGGGGACTTTTTGTTTGGTATATTTTTGGTCATTTTGGAGTATTTGATTGGTATGTTCTATCTTTCGTCGAGAATCCCCCTGTAGGGGGACACGCCCGACTTAATCGTAGTGATGCGAGAGACGGTTGAACCCAAAGGTAGAGTCGAGTCGAGTTGCCGCCCTCCTGATCCTGTTGTTCCTCGTAGTGGTACGAGAGACGGTTGAACCCAAAGGTAGAGTCGAGTCGAGCTGCCGCCCTCCTGATCCTGTTGTTCTTCGTATTGATGCGAGAGGCTGTTGAACCCAAGGCAGAGTCGAGTCGAGCTGCCGCCCTCCTGGTCCTGGCCCTGTTCCCGATCATGCCACCTCCAGGACCCCAGCACCGCCTGCCTAGAATTATGTCGGGCCTGTCCCCCTACAGGGGGGTTTTCGACGAAAAATAAAAGTTACTCCTAAAATAATCAAAACATAGTCAAACAATGCCCCCAAAATAATCAAACTAGATTCAAAAACACATGAAAATAAAACATACCGCACAAATGATCAAAACATAGTCCAATAATAGTGTGGGAACTACGTTTTGAGTATGTTTTACCTTTTTGGTGTATTTTGGGGCGATTTGTTATTTTCTCGTCGAAAATCCCCTTGTAGGGGGACAGGCCCAGCTTAAGCCTAGAAGCCCACAGAGCCTCCCCAGAACCTTCGTTGCAGCTTTCGGAAGCCCGTCCGAATCTCACGAATGCTGGCCCCTTCCTGAGTGGGGCTAGGAAACGCCAGAGCCGTTTTTGTTACTGCTCTTGCTTCTCAGATTGTGTACCATTTCAGGCGTTTTTGCTTGACGTTTCTGGCGTTGTTGTTCTATCGTTTACGTTTCCCCTACCGGATTCGAGCCGTTTTTGCACCAGTTCCGAGCGTATTTCGGATGATTTGATTGCCGTGGCCGTTTCGGTGAACCGTTTTTCACAGTTTCGGTGAACAGTTGTTTGCATTTTCCATTGTCGAGAGGCCATACTTTGCAGCCAGTGGAAAACAAGGCCTTGCTGTTTCCGGGGGGGCCCTAAGGTCCTGTACCCCTCATCCTCTTCTTCCTCCTCCTCCTCTCCTCTTCCTCCCGGTCTTCCCCCTCCTCCTACTCCTCCCCGTCCTCCCCCTCCTCCTACTCCTCCTTCTCCTCCTCCTCCTCCTCCTCCACCTCCTCCTCCTTCTCCTCCCCCTCCTCCTCCTCCTCCTCATCCTCCTCCTGCGCCCAGGCCCTGCCAAAGCGGTGCCTGCCCCTCCGTCTCCACGACTTCCTCCGCCGGGTCCGCGCTCCCCCCTTGGCGCTCGCAGTACACGTTCGCCTGGGCGGACGGCGTCAAGGTGATGGCGCCCACCAAGGTGTCGGGCTGTCCTCGTCCTCGTCCTGATTGTCGGTTTCCCTCGCCATCTTCATCGTCGTCATCATCACCATCAGGGCGAGGCGATCATCTATCCCCGCTGCACCTCCTTGCCCTGCCCCCCTGCTCCATGATCAGGTGGACTCTCTCTGCCGTGCACATCCCGCCGCATCATCAATGCCGCCTGAAAGCTCTACTCCGGGGTCGGGGTTGGCATCAACTTTCGTGGCCAAAGGGCTGCTAGCTTCTGGGCCTCAGGGGTATGAAACAAGGTTGCTCCTTGTGTGATCATTCTCTTATTCATTGTTTTTGCCGATCCGCGCGGGCCTTCGCACCCTCCCGTCACCCCCCTTGGAGCAGCTCTTGGCTGTTTGTTGGCGCATGCTTCGAGCGGGTGGGGTCTCCCCGAGAGGACGTCTTCGTGCAAGCAATTGCACTGAGCAGAGGTCCAGAGCCAGACCCCCCCCCTCTCCCCCCCCTTGCCCCCTTGTGCCCAACGTCGAAACGCCGAACAAGAGACCGCTCACTACAGTATTTGGTTCCCTCTTTGTCTCGGACTCGACCCCTTCCTGGGGCAGTTACTTTCCCGTCTTCTTCCGCAGTCGGGCATTTTGGGAGCCTTCATTGACGACATTGGTCTTGCCTCGCCCGATACTTTTGCCATGTCCAGAATAGCATGCTCTGTCTGGGTTCCCGTTGGGTCAGCAGCTGGTCTCCACAGGGGTCTGGCCAAATCTATCACTGTCACGGTCCATCCCATGTCTGATACCGCTCGTCTTTGTTCGCACATCAGCTCGAGGATTACACTTTGCAGATCATCGCCAACGGTTTTAGAAGTTCGACATTCTGTTAGGTCCGCAGGAATGTCGACACTCTGGGATTTCGTATCAGTGCTGGCAGTTTCAGATGTTCAGCTCGTGCCGTCCTGCTTAGAATAGCTACTATGTCAAGCGCTTGTCCTGAGTCGGCCGCTTCAGATGATGAGTGCCATATCTTGCACGAGCATTATGTGGAAGAGAAGTATCCACAGCACGATGGTCACACATTTAAATGTGCTGATCAGATCCCCCGTGCCCGCCAGTTTGGAGACAAACAATTTCAGCACAGAGCTTAATGTGCTTTCCTGAGTCTTCGGTCATTTACTCCCCACCCCTTCCCGTATTCAGAACTCCCTCGTTGCCTCCCTGACACCAATCGTGCATAGGCCGATGCCGTCTTCATGTACATTCTGCGCTCGCGCAGAGGTAAACGTGCTTTCCTGAGTCTTCGGTCGCTTACTCCCCACCCCTTCCTGTATTCAGAACTCCCTCGTTGCCTTCCCGACACCAATCGTGCATAGGCCGATGCCGTCTTCATGTACATTCTGCGCTCGCGTAGGAAGCAGGAGGTCAGGTCCTCCTCCTCCTCCTCCTCTTCTTCCTCCTCCTCTTCCTCCTCCTCCCCCTCTTCCTCCTCCTCCTCCTCCTCCTCCTCCTCCTCCTCCTCCTCCTCCTCCTCCTCCTCCGCCTCCTCCTTCTCCTCCTCCTCCGCCCTCCTCCTCCCTCATGCGCGTGTGCCCTTGGTGTGTTGGCCGTTGGCCACTTTGGCCGTTGGCCAGGGCACGTTGGCCCGCGCTTTGTTGAGCGCGCCACGGTTTTGTTCTGCCTCTTTGGGCCCGCAACGTCATTTGCGCACGGTGCGCAGTGCATGGTGCACGACCGGACGTTTTCGAGGCAGCATTGTCGACTGCCCATGTTGTCTTGCAATCGGATGCGGCACACTTCTGCACCTACACTCGAATGCTCCCTCGCGTCGATCGCCCCCGTCCGCGCCGACTCCCCGTTCTCCCCCCCCATTTGGCTAATCGTGCTCGCAGTGTCGTGCGCATTTCTCCTCTCGGCTAGTCGCCCAAGGATCTGCTGCTCCCGCTTGCACTCCTCTGTCGACGCCTTTCGCTCGGTGTGCAGCTTCGTCTTCTTCTTCCTCTTCTGATGTTTCTTCCTTTTCTTCTTATTAGCATTGAGATTAATATTAGCATTCTTAGTCGGATTGCTATTCTTGCTAATGTTAGTAACACTTGTATTGATACCCGTTGTACTATTATTGTTATTCATGTCAGCCTTTCTGCGGCCCGTTGCCGCTCGCCCTCGACCCTCGCGAAGGCCGAGCGCTCCTCCGCCTCCTGCCCGCTCGGTGCGGTAGTGCACGCGTAAGTGCACGGCGGCTCAGCAGGAACACGCCGGGACCATGGAGAGCTCGTGCCTTCCTTTCTCCCCCGCACCTTCCGCCTCTTCCTCTATTCCCTCCTGGATCTCGTCCTCCCCCCCCTGTCTTCTTGTTTCACCCCCCCCTGGCTCACCTCGTTCCCCGCCCGCCATGGCCGTCCTTGTCCGCATCGTCATCCCCTTTTCTGCAAGCCTCTGGAGATACTGGAGACCTCCTGGGAAATTCCGAGAGCCTCGGGAGTCCCCCTCCGAGGTGTCGGCGCCGAGATGCCCTCCCCCGCGTCCAGCTCATCCCTCGCATTCCTCCTCGTCCTCCTCATCCTTCTCCTCCTCCTCCTCCTCCTCCTTCTCCTTCTCCTCTTCGTCCCCCTCCTCATTCTCAGAGATGCTCCTTTTCCTCTTCACAAGAGGAGGGGACATATGAAGGGAGATCAGGAACGAAGTTGGAATTCCTGGAATAGGAATTCCCCCTGGTTATATTCCTCCTCGTGACAGCCCGCTCTGGAGGTCACAGGAGATTCCCAGGAGGCGTGCACAGGACCCAGGAGGCCAGAAACGTCCAGAAACCTCGGATCCGACGCCGAAGAACAAAATGCATCATCCGGAAGCATCACGGCAGGAGCCCTCGACCCCATCTTCTTGCGGCAGTCACGGGCCGCATCGACCCGCGAGGGATTTGACCTTCAAAATTGGGCGAGAAGGCGGCAGGGGTCCAACTTTTTGCGTCGGTGGCTGGGCAGAGGATGCCTGCGCTGGCGATGAGAGGCTTAAACGGGGTACCGTTGGAGCGCATTGTGCCACCATGCAAGAGGAGGAGGGAGGGAGGACGCGGCCGAAGGAAAACAAGGACGGGGCGGGCGGCTCAGGGGTCAGAACGCTCCCCGAGCGTGCGGCGGGCAGGGGTCGAACAAAACTGCGAGGCCCGGATCTCAGCCCAGACCTCCGACGTCACGTGTTCCTGCCGTGCTCCTGCTGCTTTCCAGGCGCGGCTTTCCCACGAGGTTGAAGTCTGGCCTGTCCCTCTACAGGAGGGGCATTCAAACATAGTAAACAAGAATCCGGGGTCGATTTGTTTTTGAGCATGTTGGAGGTCTTTTCGGGGTATGTTTAAATCTGCTGCGCGAAATCCCCCCAGCAGGGGGGGCAGGCTTGACCTGACACGAGGTGGGGACCCCCGTTCCAAGGGGGCCCGCCCCTCGCCCCGAGCCGTGCCGTGGACGGCCCCGGGGCCGCGGTGTGTGGGCCCCCATGGGTGCCCAGAGCATGGCAACCAGCCCCCCTCCCCGTCCCCATCCCCTTCGATAGGGGAACAACAAGTGGCATAAACATAAAAACTCGGAGGTCCGCGCGGATTCCTCGGATCGGCGCTGGGGCCCCCCGGCGGCGCCTCCGGCGCCGCCCCTGGCGCGCTCCGCGCGCCAGGGAGGGGGGTCCAGCGCCGATCCGAGAAATCTGCGCGGACCTGCGAGTTTTTATGTTCATGCCACTTTTTGCTCCCCTATTCGAGACCCCCACCAAATTACCCCCCCAGTTGGGGATACGCCCCTCGAAACCCGAAGGGAGCGGCCTATATCCCCATCTAGGGGGGTAGATCGGCCAGTGGGGCCAAGGCCACGCCGCTGGGGATGAGGATCGCTTAAACGATGCTCAAAGATGGGGGTCCTTCGGGAGACTTGAGACGGGGGTCAATGCAGACGGGGGTCAGCCAGAGCGCCCGATCTTGCAGGATCCTGCAGGGCCAGGGTTGCACTGACCCAGGTTTGGGCGCAGGATCCTGCAGGATGTTGCAGGATCCTTCGCATTGACCCGGGCGTGGGCGCAGGATCTTGCAGGATCTTGCAGGATTTTGCAAGGCCTGATTGACCCGGGTTTGGATTGACCCGGGTCAGACGATCCCCGAGTCCTGAGGGATGAGGCCCGAAGGAAGGATAGGAAAGGAGCCAAGCTTACACTGTCTGAGGCACCTCTCGGGAGTGGCTAGGACGAGGACCAATCCGTTCCAGAGCGTTCGGGAACGCTCTCAGAGCGTGTCGGAAGGCTTTGAGAAGGCCGCGGCGCCCGATACATCCTCCAGAGCCGCCGCATCTCAGCGATTCTCGACTTGCCCCCACCCGATGTTATCCTCGTCCCGGCTTCGTCTGAACCTCGTTCTTAGGACCCCATCACTCAGGACCCCCATCTGTGAACCACCGAGGTTTCAGTCGGGCGTGTCCCTCTACAGGAGGAATATTCAGAAATAGTCAAACAATTGTATGGGGGACGATTTGTTGATACTTGTTTGACTCGCATTGGGCATTTTGAATATATATATATATATATATATATGCTCTGAACACTCTCGCTTGCCAACGCAGATGGATTTTCCAGAGAGGTAGCAGGCTGCCAAGGGTGGACGACACTGGTGCTTGCTGCGAACGGAACTTATAACAGAGCGCGCTCGCTCCCCAGCTTTGACGACACATAGGAATGAAAGAAAGGAAAGCAGGAGGAGGGGAGGGAGGTGGTGCACTTGAGCCCGATGTCCATGGATGCACATCGGTTTATCGAGGCGGCTGCGCTACAACTTAGAGCACTAACGTTTGAAAAACTGAACCCTGCTCTGAACACTCTCGCTTGCCAACGCAGATGGATTTTCCAGAGAGGTAGCAGGCTGCCAAGGGTGGACGACACTGGTGCTTGCTGCGAACGGAACTTATAACAGAGCGCGCTCGCTCCCATCTTCCCGAATCAATTCTGGCCAAGCCGCATGACATTGCTCACAAAGTCAGAGACGCGAGATGATTGAGCTGGATTCGGTCGGAGGCCTGCACAAGCAAAGAAGCGGCGCCTCGGGCGAAAGAGTCAGGGTACTCTTCTGCCCAAGCTGTAAGGTTCCTGGGGTCCCCGGGTCCGCGGCCCTGGAGGGCCACGTGAGGCCGGAGCGTGCGACTGCACATCCCTTGGACCCCAGAACACCGTTCGCAAAGTGCTTTGGGCGGAGCCCCTACATTCCACCCCACGACTTTAGTGGGCTTCTTCCAGGCACGGTTGTGTTGGCACATGTGTGTCACAAACTCTCTACAACCGTCTAGGCGCGTGAGGTCTAAGAGGGCGGGACACTGCCAGAGAAGACTAGACTGGGGGTTCTCCATTGCCACTGGGATCCCTGCCGTCAAACACGCACGAACCACACATATTGAAAAGAGAGCTGTTGCATTGCCGAACTGTACTTTGACTGCATTTTTGTCGGAGAGGTCGGGCCGACCATATATATGCTGGGGTGTGCGGAATGTGTTTCGGCCGGCAACGCTCCACGTTGAGCACGGGGGAGCAAGCCACACGGCCCGCACGATTCGACTCCCGATCCAACCTCGAATTACTTTGAGAGCTGCGTCTGATGACAAATCGAAAGCAGGGTCGGCCTTGACATCGAGGCGGAGGGCCGGCAGTCCACTCAACCTCTCAAGCCATTTGCCGACGCGGCCTGTCCTGGCAAAAGAGGTCTAAAAATGCCTGTGCCCTCCGAGGCTGGCGGCCCAGCGCCTGATCTAACGCGGCTCTGAGCCTGCGTCTGACCGACGCGGCCGACAGCTGGAGGGCAGAGCCAAGAGTGTCTCCTGAGCGCCAGAGCTGGCCGGCGGCCAGCGCCGCGGCCTTTTTGCCCCTGGAGGCGCGGCCACGGCCTTGCGCTTGGTGATCAGGGCCTCGAAGTTGGCGTCCACGTATTCTCCGTACTGCTTCGTGTCGGGCGCCAGCTGGTCCAGCTCGCGGAGATACCTTGTGTGCTTCTTGTACCGTCGTGTTGACGCCTCTTGAGCGTGCCTCAGCCTCTCCTGGATCGTCTTCATGTCCCGACTCTGGTGGAGGGCGTCGGCGCTGGCAGCCCCGTGGCGCACCTGGTAGGGGTTCAAGTCCGGGAGGCCAGCCAACTGCGCCACCTTGCGGAACAGCACTCGGAATTGCGCGGCTGAGAAGGACCACAACGGCTGACTCGGCCCGGCACGGCGTACCAGCGCCTTCAGCAGCGGCCCCATCGCCGTCACCCTGTCGCTGTCCAGCAAGCAACCTTCGTCCCACTGGCCGGTCTTGCTCCTGGGCTGCTTCTCCTCGTGGTACAGGAGCAGCGCCCAGTGAGACACCCCCGTGGACCGCTGGGGCGGGATGAGCGAAGAGCCGGTCATGGAGATCAAGTCGCTGGGGAGCCGAAGGTAGGCGCACCACGCCACCTCCAGGGCGATCGCCAGCTCCTGCATCCCCAAGAACAGCGCAGCGCCCACCAGAGCCGCCAGCCCTGGCCGCGGCAGGGGTGCCCGCGACTGCCCGGGGGCCCGCTTGCGGAAGCCTCTCAAGGTTGCGCGGGCTCGGGGCAGCGCCTCCACCGACTGGTACAGCCCGTGCACGTCGTAGTACTTGACGGCTGCTATCAGTTTTTCTCCTTGATCGTGATTGTAGCCCTCGAAGAAGAGCGAGTCCATGTGGGCGGACAGGGCCTGGTCCATCTCCTCCGGCGTCTCCAGCTTGAGGTCCTGCTCCTCGGCCCACCTCTCGAACTCGCTCAGGATGACCCGGTAGTAGGCCACGGTCTGCGGCTGCGCCCGCGATGCCTGCATGTAGCCCAGGCCCGCGGCTGCCGCCTCCTGAGCTGCCTCTCTCTGCGTCTGCCTCAGCGTCGCTCGTCGGCTCCTCCTCGCCTGAGCTGCTAGAAGAGCTGCTCCACGCCGCCTCGGCAGCTCCACCTGGTGGCGACTCGGCTGGCTCGACCCGCCGACCGAAGGCCGCAGCAGGCTCGTCCAGCCAGGTGCCCCCGAGGCCGCAGAGGCCGGCCGCCTCGGCCCCGCCTGGCTGGCGGAGGAGGTGGTTGTCGATCTCCCCCTCGAGCGCCAGGTCGAGGCGGGCGGCGGCCGAGTGAACATCAAGGTACCATGCCGATCGTGGATCTGACCGAGGGTCCCGCGGCTCGGGCCGAGATGGCCACGCTCTCGAGGGTCGGTCTGCTGGGTTGATCTCTGACGCTATCCATCTGAAACAACAGTGAATGTTGGCAAACAAACTGAGTGCAAGAACCTCTTGGCACGTGCGATTGACTGTTGAAGTAGATCCCCGGCCCTTGCTGAGGGCCAACACCATGGACATGTTATCGCAAAGGAACAAGTGACGAGCTCCCTGGGATGCCCGGGAACGTAGACGATGCCGAAGCCCCAGTACTACCCCTCGCCCCTCAGTACGCAGGATGTTCTCATGACGAAGCCAACGACCTTTTGCGCACAGGCGCCAGCTGCTGTCGTCGCCCATCTGGCTGGGCGTGATATGGTCGAAAGTGTTTCCTGCCTGGCGAGACATTGGACGCTTTGGCCCCTGCTCCTGCGGCAGACCGAGCGTCTGGGCACGAGCAGCGATGGCATCTGAGACACACCACCGCCACTTCTCGGCCTGCCCCGCCGCGGCCCTCACGCTCTCCAGGTCCCAGTCGGTCTCCATCACGCCGTACCCGCCGAAGTCGTGGCGGCTGGCCCCCGAGGCGTCGGACGCGGTCACGACCGTGCTGTAGGGCCGCTTGGCGTCCACGAGCGCGAAGCAGACCAAGGCCGCGGCCCGCCGCAGCTCGGCCCCCACGCAGGGCCAGAGCCTCCACCTCCTGGAGCCGGCCAGGGCGATGTACCTGTAGGTCTGCGCGAACACACTCAGCAGTTCACGCCGCAGGATCGCTGCCCAGCACCAGTGGCCAAGGAGATGCCGAAGCTCGTCTCCCGAGGCCCACCCGCGGGAGGCCGTGTGCAGGAGAGCCAACCTCAACTTCCACGTCCGTGACCGGGAAAGCCGTATCTTGCCGGAGGCGACCTCGAAGCTCAGGCCTGTGAAGGTGGTGTCCGAGCCAGCCGCCTCCACGCCCTTGCACTTCAGGCCCAGCGCCTCCAGCTTCGCGGCGACCCGCTCGCAGTCGGAGGTCACCAGATCGGCCTCCAGCCCCACCACAGCGACTCCGTCCACGTAGACGGCCACCCGGTTGCGGTCCGTCACCGACGGGGCTGCACGGCGGTCCTGGATGAAATCGGAGAGGGCGAAGCCAGCAGCCTGAACACCAGCCATCACCATGCATTGGCAAAAGTAGAGACTCCACGTCCACCCCATGGGAAGCACCTCTAGGCAAGGTGACGCCCACGTCTCGATCCCTGGCGGCAGCTGATCTGAGAGGTCAGGCCTCAGCTTCAGCAGGGTGGGAAGGTGGACAGCTCTCAAAACGAACATCTCCTGCGCCCCCCGCGGCAAGCCGATCCTGTAGAACGCGTTGTCCACGTCGGCCTGGGCGAGGTGCAGCTCCTGGTCCATGGGGACCTCCAACGCCGACCAAGCCCCCGCCGTCGGGAGCACTGTGTGCGCTGGAGCTTCAAACAAGTCATTGACACGCCGAGGGTCAATAATTAAACGCTGCATACCATTCGATTTGTGCACAAAGAACGCGCCCACGGTCTCCCCCCGCTGCTGCTTCAGGGAGACCACGCCGGCGTCCAACAGGTCACCGACAAACTGGGCGTAGGTAGATCGGGAACGGAACTTGCCGTCGTAGTGGGGCTTGGGCGCCTGGCTGCCGCCCTCGGGCTGTCGCTTCAACAGCTGCCTCCATCCTACCTATTGCTGCAAAGCTTCTCCCTCCAGGATGCGGCTCCCATCGACGAGGGCGCCCCCCTTCGGCAGAGAGACCAGGGACCGGTCGTAGGACGCGATGTGCTCCGGCTCGAAGACGTAGCCGTGCCCAGGTCCGCACAGCTCTCGATGGGCTGCCGCGGCGGTGCAAGCTGGCGGTGGCCCGGCGTCCTCCACCACGCGCCTGACGTGCTCCAACCCGCACTCCTGCGCGAGCGAAGACTTGCCATTGGCGGGCAGCGACCCGTGGCCGTACAGCTCATTAATTGAAACCAGAACTTCCTGCACCCAGGCGTGGAGGTGCTCCTTCTTGCGGAGTCGGCTCCTCACAGCTCGGCTGCAGGCGCCCACAGGGGGCGCGGGCGGCGGGCCCGCAGGGATAGCCACTGGAAGCAGCTCCCGCGGGACCGCCATGGGAACGTCGTAGGCTACTTGGCCCCACGGCCGCCACCGCGGCCGCGTCCTCCGCCGGCGCCTCCGCCGCCAGCAGGTGCAGACTCACCGACCTTGTCCATCAGCCTGCGGATCTCGGCGGCCTGGGCATTCACCTTCTTCTGCAGCCCCTGGGCCGCTGCTGATGAGCTCCCGCCCGCACCCCCTCCGCCGGGGGCACGGCTTGCCTGCCTCTCCTCCTTCAACTTCCTGCGCTCCTTCATCACGGCGGCCTCCTTGTGGAGCTGCTCGGTGATGTGGCCCGAGAGGTCCGGGCTCACCATCACCAGGCCGCGCGTGAGGCCGGTCCCCATGCAGAGGAACTCATCCTCCGCGAACTCGTCCCCACCGTGCTTTCCCAAGATCTTGTCACGATACCGCATCTCCGCGAGCTGCGCCCTCCTCAAGAGCAGCTCGAAACTCGCCAGCTCAGTGATGTTGAGCTGGTCGTACACCACGGCCAGCTCTATCATTCTCATCGCCAGCTCGTGGTCCTGACAACCGATGTCCTGACCACCCACCCCCGCTTCATGTCTCCACTTCGTGTGCCGCGCGCGGGGGTGGGTGTCTTGCTCAGCAATGAACTCGAGACACCACCGAGCGGTCCTGGGGCCAAGGATTGGCCACGCCGCCCAGCTTGTCTCAGTCATCTCTCTCACACTATCTTTGAAAGGGCGCCGTCTCTCTCCACTCGGGCTCTGGACGATGCTGAGCACGCGGGCGTCCGAGTCCACGTCGTCCTCGACGCCTGAGCTCCTCCGCAGCAGCAGCACCTCTGAGCCCTTCACGGCGAGGGCGCCGACGTCGCAGACAGCGAACTCATCCGCGCTCAGGCTACCCAGCAGCGACTTGCGGGGGGTGCCGCCCGTGCTCCAGACGACCTGCCAGCCGTCGGGCGTCGGGGACGGCAGCGTCCGCGACCCGACCTCAATCAGATTCGCCACCGCTCCACCCCCAGCTGCCACTACTGCCAGCCGTGGCTCCAGCCACTGGTCGCCGAGGCACAGCTTGATCATCTTGGCGAACTCCGGCGGCGTGGCGCTCCAGTCCGTGCCATACACGCGTGTGCGGTTGGTGAACCTGGTGCCGAGGAGTGTCGCCCGATCTGGTCGGCCCTCGTCGTCGCACAGGATCAACCCGCTGAGCGGGCCCACGTCCAGGCAGTGAGGGTAGGCGTCGCCGTCCGGCGTCCCGCACCACCATATCTTCCCAGCCGCTATCTGATCGGGAGTCGCTTGAACTTCCATGATAGCCTGCAGCTCGGTGGCGGTGGCGGGAGCGATGGCGACGCGGGCCTGCCAGTCCTGCCCATCCCCCCACTGCACGAGCAGCCTCCTGCCGGCTTCCACAGCCATGGGGACACCCACAGCACAATGCACTCGCCAGGAGGAAGCCGAGGATGAACGAGGTGCTCGCCAGGCCACGCGTCCCGCCGAAGAGATCCAGCACAGCTACGCACTCGCCCTTGCTTGCCACCACGGGCGCCAACACACTTCTGACTGTCTGAGAGGCTGCCCAGCCTCGGGAGAGAATGTTCCAGGAATTGGAAAGAAGGGCAAGCTGCATGCGGACTGGCCGCAAATTAATGCACTTGAGCCCGATGTCCATGGATGCACATCGGTTTATCGAGGCGGCTGCGCTACAACTTAGAGCACTAACGTTTGAACAACTGAACCCTATATACATATATATGTGTGTATGTGTATATGTATGTGTATATATATATATATGTATGTATCATCCCAAATCCGCCTGTAGGGGGACATGCCGAACCTGCATCGAGGTAACAGGACCCCCGTCTTTGAATCGGCGGTTGATAGACCTCCTACCCTGACACGTCGATTAGCGAATTGGCCGTTTTCGGTTCGCGGGAGGGCGTCCCGGCCGTCATTTTTGCGGGTCCAGGTCCGTCGGTTTTGGTCCCAGGCCGTTTTTGCTGAAGGGTAGTTTCCTAAAGGGAGGCTTGTCCATCGCCGATTGCACCACCGAGGTGACAGCAGCGGCCGCCGAGATATGTTTGTCCCCAGCGCGAGGAGGGTCGGGGCCCCTGCCCTTCTGTCGGGCCTGTCCCTCTACAGGGGGAATACTCAAAAATAGGCCAAAATAGTCTGGGGACGATTTTTTAAAAAATCTTATTTTTGCCTGTTTGGGGGGCATTGCTCGAGTTTTTATTGTTCTGCCGAAATCCCCCCTGTAGGGGGATAGGCCCGACCTAACCCCGCCACCCTCCGCCCCTCTGCCAGGTGTCGGCGCCGAGATATCCGCGGGGCGCTCCCGCGCAGGCCGCCGGGAGAACCCATCCTTCGCTCCTCCTCCTCCTCCTCCTCCTCCTCCTCCTCCAATCCTCCTCCACTCCTGCTCCACATGCCTCCTCCACTCCTCCTCTACATTCCTCCTCTCCAATCCCGCCTCCTCCCCAGACCCCCTCGGGTCATGAAGAAATCACGGCGGGAGGTTTTTCGCCATGGTCGGCCTCTGGAGGCCCTCACCGGGCCTCGGGTCCGTCAAACAACGACTCTGGATGAAAAACCGGTCCCGGGGAATGGGTCGGAACCTCTGGGGGTCGCGTCATGAAAGAGTCATGACGTTGGGGGTCTGGGTCCGCCTCCTCCTCCTCGTCTACATTCCTCCTCCTCCTCCTCCTCCTCCTCCTCCTCCTCCTCCTCCTCCTCTTCGTCCTCCTCCTCCTCCCGCGTGGGCCCTTCCCTCGGTCGGCACCATGTGCGAGCCTCTCACGGAAGTTCGGTTGGTGTGCGGCCGTCGTGCTCCATAGCAGGTGGTGGCGTCAGCGGCCCGATCACCGGGTCGTTTTGCGCAGCCGCCGGCCTCTGCTTGGCCTGGTGGCGTTCGGCGCCCACGAGGGGCCTATGGCCCCAGGAAGGTTGTCGCCAGACAGGCGCCAGCGCACGGGCCCACGGCCCTGGCAGGGAAGCGCGGCGCTCACGGTCCTCCCCCTCCCTTGGCTGCGGCGCTCTGGGCACCGTGGTGCCCGCGGGAACCGCGGCATCCTCGCAGGCAGAGAGCTGGCGCGGACACCAGCAGGTGATGACAGCCATCAGCAGCTAAACGCAACAAAACAACATCTATGAAGACTTTGACAGTTGAGCCCAGCCGAACGCAAGGGGGGGATAGAGAAAGGGGGGGGTCACAAATCTGCTGCGTGCAGCTGGTAGGAGTCGATGTCGGCGTCTCCGCGGACGGTGCACTTGAGACAGAAGGTCGCTTGCCAAACAGCGGCCGCTGTCGTTTTTGGATCACAGTCGCGTCGGTCATTGTAACTACCCATTGTTTCCCGTCCCTTTTTCGGGCGTCCTAACTTTCGGTTGCCTCTTTTGAGCCAGTCTCGAGTTATCCCGAGACGATACCAGCCGCGTCACCTTTTGCCAATGAGCTCACGGTTGTACATGGCCGTGCTCTCACCTGCTCTTGGGGTGCTTTGACGGGGTATAGTCTTGGCGGCTCTCTGGCAGCAGCCGGATGAGTGCCCGATGCGCGGCGTCCTTGCACAGAGCGGGGCCTTCTCAGAAAGCCTCGCCCCTCCCAGACCAGGGGCAACGTTTGGGGGGGGGGGGGGGGGATAGGCCGAGGGGGGAGGCGTCGACCCCAAGTCGCCCATTGATCGCTAATTGATGAGGGCCTGATCATCCACACCGACCAGGAGCGTGCGGACTGATAGCAGGGACCTGTCGCCGATCGGCCTGCGATCCGGCGATGCATCGCCGATTCCGTCGGGACGTTTCCCCCCCGCACGAGTTGGTCCAGCCTGGCGTTCCCCCTCACCGTGGTGTTCACAGCAAGCCCCGCCCGTCTCATACACGTTCTGCGGTGCGTGCTCACGCGGGAGCGCGGGCGGCCATCGAGAACGTGCTGCTGTGGGTGGAGCGCCAGCTGACCGACACGACGTTCCTGCCAGTTGAGCCGGGGCAGCCGTTCCCACCGAATTTCCGGAAGGAGCCGATGCTGTCTCAGGGGCAGCGTTAGTGAGGAGGGAAAAAAAACACAGACACAATGAATCGTCGATTCCCCAGAAGATGTGGGAAACAGGGGAAGTGGGGGGAAGACAGAAACCCAGAAAATATGGGAAAATATGATGAACCTGGTTTTTTGTGTCTATTTATTTTTGTGTCCCAGCTCCCCTTCACTGTCGGCGATGTCTCGCCGATTCCAGGCCGATCCCCTCATATCGTTATCCCTTCTTGCCGGCAGAGCGGGCATGGCCGGCGGGGGTCAGACTTGGAGCCTGCTGGAGGGCCGGGGGAGAAAGGGGCCCCCGCGTCGCCGCTGCTGGGCGCGGCTCGAAGAGCTTGTCCGTTTCGGCCGCCGGGGAGTGGTCTGCGGACCGACCTCGGGCGAATTTGCCTTCATCTCCAGGGGAACAAAAAAGGGGCATAAGCATAGACACTCGGACAAAAAAAGTGACATAAACATAAAAGTGGCATAAACATAAAAAGTGGCATTAAAGTGACATAAACATAACAAGTGACAAAAGTCTCGAAGGGGATGGGGAACAAAAAGTGGCATAAGCATAAAAACTCGGATGTCCGCGCGGATTTCTCGGATCGGCGCTGGACCCCCCTCCCTGGCGCGCGGAGCGCGCCGGGGTCGACGCCGGAGGCGCCGCCAGGGGGCCCCAGCGCCGATCCGAGAAGTCCGCGCGGGCCTCCGAGTTTTTACGTTTATGTCACTTGTTGTTCCCCTAATCTCCACCCCTCTTGGCCGATGTTCTCTGGGCTCATCCAGCTCAGACCTTCCAGCCACCTCCAACGTCAGACAGGACACGGAGGTAAGAGGATAGGTGGCTCATGCAGTCTTCGAAGCAGCCCGGCAGCACTCTTGACACTTTCGGGTATCCCCACAAGCCCATCCAGAAACGATGCCCAGGCGAGTTGCCCCCATCAGAGGAGTGCAGGAGTTTGCAGCGAAACCCGGAGTCAGAAGGGGCGGGGCAGCAGCTATTCTTCGCGGGAGGAGGGTGGAAGCAGCGGAAAAGGAGGAGGAGGAAGCGGATGGAAGAGGGAGGAGGCAGAGGCGGAGGAGGAGGATGAGGGCGATCAGAAGAAATGGGATTTTGACCGAACACGTTCCCACACAACTTGAGGTGACACTCAGCTGGGCGGATGGAGTGGAGGAGAAGGAGGACGGGGATGAGGTGAAGGAAGAAGGGGATGATGTGGTGGAGGGAGGACTTGGCATCGCTCGGACGTGTGTCTGTTTTTTTTTCACGGCGAGGACCATCGAGGAGCATATTGAGTCATCTTTCGAACAACAAACACGCACGAAGTCCACACATGCACGGGGAATGGACGTCCGAGCGATGGCAAGTGGAGGAGGATCATGGGCGAAGAGAACAAGGCGATGACGACAACGACTTGAGTCAACCACAAAGGCATTCGCGAACCTTTCGCTCTGAAAGTCTCGTGAAGGCCTTTTCGAGCCTTTGGGGGTCGTCTCGGGGCCATGTTGAGAGCTTCATGAGCCCCCTTGGAAGTGTTTTGTTGTTCTCTTGGGGCCTTTAGGGCCCTCCTTAGACCATCTTGGAGGACATCCATCACACAGGGGGTGGGGGATACGAAATTAGCCATCCCCCATCGGATTGAGAAGAAACACCTCTTGGAGCTCTCTTGCCGTACTCAGACCTCAGAAGCCCATTGAAGCGAAAAGACGAGATACACAGATCGTGTCAAAAACTGCGGTTTTCAATGACGTCGGCCTCTTAGGGGTCTCATTGGGAGGCTCAGTGTCTTCTTGTGGCCGTCCTGGGGCGGGCTCGGGGCCTCCTGGAGGCACTTCGGAGGCCCTCTTGAGCTACCTTGGGGAGCATTCTGCGATGCTGGAAGCCATCTTGGGCTATTTGGGGGCCACCGCGGGATCACGTTGCGCCGTCTTGGACGCTGCTACGCGTCGTCCCTCCCACCTGCCCGTCCAGACCTCGTCGAGGGGGCTTCCCCGCACAAGGCCGGCGGACCCCTCGGCGGTCGCGAGGCCTGCGCGCCTCTCCCCCCCGGGGAGGGCGCCCGGGACGCCCCCACGAGGCGGCCCCAGACGATCTGGCAAGGCCGGCCTCCTCCTCCTCCTCCTCCTCCTCCTCCCCCTCCTCCCCCTCCTTCTCCTCCTCCTCCCCCATCTCCTCCTCCTCCTCCTCCTCCTCCTCCTCCTCCTCCTCCTCCTCCTCCTCCTCCTCCTCCTCCTCCTCCTCCTCCTCCTCCTCCTCCTCCCCTTCCTCCTCCTCCTCCACCTCAGGCAAGACGAGGCGAGACTTGACGGAGCAGACGCCAGCCTCCAGGTCGGCCCAGGCTGGCCCCGAGAGGGCCCGGGAGAGGCGAGCGCCGTGCAGGACCTCTGCGGGCAAGTCGGGGAGGTGTGGGGCCTCGCCCTGTCGCTCCAGCAGGGTCTCACGGTGGCATGCGGAGGGCCCCAGGAGGGGCCCAGGACGGCTCCCGAGGCTCCCCCGAGAAGCCCCATGGAGGCCCACACAGGGTCGCAGGAGGACCCGAAGGTGACCGTTGTCTTATCCAGTGTTTTGCCGGTCGGCGCCGGCCCTCGTACCCCTCCTCCCCCCCCCATGGAGTAGATCTTGGCTTCTTGGGCGCCCCTGTCTCGAGCAGGTGGAGTCTCCCCCGTAGGACGCACTGTTGCAAACAGTCGCATCAAGCAGAGGTCCGGAGCCAGACCCCCCCCCTCTTTTCCGCCGAAGAAGAAAACGATCACAAGGCAATTGTTGTCGCTTCGCGAATCCCCACCAGCCCATCCAGAAACGATGCCCAGAGGAATTGCCTCGATCAGAGAAGTGGGCAGCACACAGAGGAAGCCATTATGAGACATCTTGGGATATCTTGAGCCATCTTGGAGGTCATTTTGGGCTCTCCCAGACGCTCTTGGAGTCATCTTAATCCGTGCCCCCCCCCAAGAGGCCTCCATGTGGCTAAAACCTGTGTAGAATCAATGATTAGGCATTCTCGCCGAGGCCTCTTGGAGCATCTTGGGTGCATCTGGGGGGGCTCTTGGGGCCTCTTGGGGGTCTCTTGGGGGCCTCCGGGGGGCCTCTTGGGGGCCTCTTGGGGCCATTTTGGGGCCATCTTGGGACCTCTTGGGGCTTCCTGGGCGCTTCTTGGGGCCATCTTGGAGGAGATCGATCAAACAAGAGGGGGGGTTTAATTAGCGTCCCCCCTCGGAAGCCCCTAAAATCGCCTCTTGGACCCCTCTTGGAACGCTCTTGGAGTGCTCTTGGGCGCTCTTGGGGCCGTCTTGGGGCTCTTTTGGGGCTCTCTTGGGGCCCTCTTGGGCCATCTTGGAACCATCTCCAGGCCTCGGATGGCCATCGGAAGCGAAAAGGCGAGAAAGCAAAAATCATTGATTTTCCTTAGGTTTTGGGACGATTTTGGCCTCTTCGGGGCCTCCTTGGGGAGCTGTTTGGCCACTTGGAGTTATCTTGGGGCCGTCTTTGGGCTTCTTGGAACCATCTTAGGAGCCATCTCGAGCGATCTTGCGCTATCTTGAGCCATCTTGGAGCTCATCTTGGGTTCTCTGAGGCGCTCTTGGAGCCGTCTTGGGCCATCTGGGACGCTCTAACTACCCGCGGCCCCCCCCGTCCAGGTCCAGGGGAGGGGGTAGGGGGAGGGGTAAACCCCTCCCCAAGGGGGAAGAGGGAGGGGTGGAAGAGGATCTGTTCTAGACCACCTACGCCCAGAGGGCTGGTGGGATTTGAAAACCGTCACGGCCAATAGGGGCACGCAGTGTGCACCAAGGCTGGCCCCAGGGTCCCAACCAAGAGGCCCCCGAGGAGCCTCCAAGCAGGCCCCCAAAAAGGCCCCCAGGAGGCTTCGCTAGGTAGGGAATATCCTTCGGGCACGGGGTAGGGGAAGGAGTGGAAGGGGGTTGGAGGACAAGCTGGGAGCGCCACTGTCACATCTGACGTCCTGCCCCTCCCTCCCATCCCTTACCATGGCGTAGATCTCCTATCTATTCGCACAGCCGGAGGTCGAGCAGGGCAATGATCTCAAGAGGGTGCGCGATGGATGGAACAAACATTGGCGTAGAGGAGCACGGCAAATCATAGCATGTCACAGCATGGCGTGGCATTGCGTAGTGAAGCAGTGCACCACAAAGCATAGCAACGCAAAGCATGCATCTCACAGGGGTGCGCAACACAGCATCGCATTGCATGCCGTTGCATGGCACCAGATGACTTGGAGGGTAAATGGCCCGTCTACAAGAGGACAGGGCCTGTCCGGAATGCCGGCTCCATGTCCTCCGCAACCGTGCCTGCCCGATGTGTGCGCTTTCGAATGCCAAATGCCGTCTGGTAGGGGTACTAATGTTTGAAGCCCCCCCCCCCTCCTTTCGACAAGCTACCTCGCGTTCCCCAGACCCCCTTCCGAGTCTCCCTGCGCTGCCCGGAGTACCGGGAGCCCAGGGAGACCAGCGGGAACGAGGCCAGCGCTGCAGCGGGAACACGATTTTGAATGACCGAAGCGCAGAAAGGAGGGCGGCGCTGCAACGGGAGCACCATTGTGGAAGAGCCGGAAACTACCGGAAAAGAACAAACACAGAGGAACAATGAAATGATGGAATCTTACGTGTAGAAGCAATGCGCGGAGAGGATGGGAGACCCTCCAGACAGAGTCAGGGGAGAGATGAGAGTATCATTCATATTGTGTAATAATTGGGCTACCGCTCTACACCACCCACGCCCAAAGGGCTTGCGGAACTTGAAAGTGGATTGAGCGGGGATCGCCGAGGGGGGGGGAAAGATACCGGCAGTGCTGTGGCTCATTGTGTCGGAGTCAAAGAAGCCTTGGGTTAGGTCGGGCCTGTCCCCCTACAGGGGGATTTCGATGAAGAATAGAAAATACCCCCAAAAATACACCAAAAAGGCACAAACATATTCAACAAATAACTCCCAGATTATTTGTGGATAATTGTTTGATTATGTTTGGGGTATTTTGCATTTTTCGTCGAAAATCCCCCTGTAGGGGGACAGGCCCGACTTAAGCCTTGGGGAGTTTACAGATGGTGGCTGTGGCCGGGGACACGACGACGACGCATCCGCAGATATTGCAGTCGAGTTCCAAAGCACGCTGTCTTGGCTTCATGTGTCTCATTAGGGAACAAAAAGAGGCATGAATATAGAAACTCGGAGGTCCGCGCGGATTTCTCGGATCGGCGTTGGACCCCCCTCCCTGGCGCGCGGAGCGCGCCAGGGGCGGCGCCGGAGGCGCCGCCGGGGGGCCCCAGCGCCGATCCGAGAAATCCGCGCGGAGCTCCGGGTTTTTATGTTCATATCACTTTTTGTTCCCTTACTCATGGCATTTGCAGGCATGCAGTGCTGACGGTTCAGCAGATCGCGACATCGAGCGTCAAGAAAACGACGGCTCATCCTGGGATCGCCTAGTTGCGGTCTGGATCAGAGTTGGAATCTAGTTCGGTGGCGTCCGTTATATGCAGGTCACCACGGCAGCTGGGAATCTCAGCTGGGGTCCAGGTTTGTCCGGGCGAGCGCCCCCTTATGCTGTAAGCTTACTCCAGCTTAGAGCGTGTCAGCTGGCCTCGAGTTGATGCTGTGTTAGCCTGCCGTCCACTCCCTTGACCACCGTCCTCCTTAATTTCGGACGTGGATTCCAAGAGGACTTAACGCGACCAGCGATTCGATGGGGAAGACGGGGTCCCCCAGAGTGCAGCAGAGGGCAGACTCGACACGAAGTGACTCAAAGAAGGAAAAAACTAATCCCATACATAAGCTCGGAGAAGGGACAACTAATTTCATACATAAGCTGTTGGACGTCCGCGCGGGCGTTCGAAAACTCCCCTAAACAGTTTGGCTGTGAGGGTTTCGTGGTTCTCTCTCTCTCTCACACGCTCTCTTTTTCTCTCTCTCTCTCTCTCTCTTTATGTGTGGTGTTTCTCTCGCTCTCTCTCTCTATCTCTCTCTCGCTCTCCCCCTACTCTCTTGCTATATACATATATATGTATATATATATATATATATATATATCCCTCTCCCTCTTCATCTTTCTTGGCACATGTCTATCCATAGTTTGCTACATACCCAGATCCACGCGTGTGCGTACACATACATCGTCAAGGCACGTGTGAGCTCCTCCAGATCGGGAGTTGGTGGCTCGTGGCCAGTGGTCCCCCGCGTGGTTTCCAATCTGGTCTTCGAGAAGGGGTCGTATGACCGCCCGCGTGGTGTCCCGCAGTCTCTGACAGACGTTCCCGTGGGCCCTGCCGCTTTGCAGCGCATTGTTTTCCATTGGTTGGTGTGTGTGTGTGTTCTCGTTGGTCATGTTGTTTGGGGCATTCTGCCGCCAGGGTTTGCGTATGTTGATATATGTTAATAGGTATATATGTATATGTATGTGTGTGTGTGTTTGCTTGTGTGATGTTCGTCCTTGTGCATGTGTGTTGTGGTTTCTCTGGCGGCCCCGAGGGCATCTGCAACATTTTCAAGCGGCTCTTTCGCATCTACGCGCACGTATTCCACACTCACTTTAAGCAGCTGGTGGAAGCGCAGGATGGGCGGCCGCCGCCCGCCGCCGATCGTCAGGGGAGAGCAGGACAGCTACTGAGCTGGACCGCCTGGGTCTCATCATCCTGACTGTCCTGACTCTGTTGCCTCCTCAATCTGCCCCATATCCAAAAGCTCTACTTGGGGGCGTTCGCTTCTTCTCCTCCATCTCGCCCCTCCTCAGTCTCCGCCTCCACCTCCCCATCGTTGGGCACGCTCGACCTCCCCGACCTCCCCAACCTCTTCCTCCTCTTCAGCCTCTTCCCCCACCTCCTACAAGAAAAGTTTGGGATGCTCGCCTCATCCTCATCCTCCTCCTCCTGCGCTTGCCTGCGCAGCATCTTCGTGATTTTGCCGTCGTTCTGGGGAGGTGCTAGTCCTGCCACTGGGGGTCACCCGATGCGTTCAATGCTAACCCGCTCCCCCACACGTCGGGCTGCACAGAGTCCGTTGCCAAATTCGGCGTGAGTGGAGCAACTCACTTGACATCCACACGCATTGCTCATTGCGCATTGCTTCTCCATCTCCTGATCAAAAAAGCGGGATCGTTCGCTCCTCCTCCTCCTCCTCCTCCTACTCCTCCTCCTTCTCCTCCTCCTCCATCTCCATCTCCATCTCCGTCTCCTCCTCCTCCTCCTCCTCCTCCTCCTCCTCCATCTCGCCCCTCGTCAGCCTCCTCCTCCATCTCCTACAAGAACACATGGAGATGCTCGCTCCTCCTCCTCCTCCTCCTCCTTCTCCTTCTGCCTCCTCCTATTCATCCCTCCCCCACCTTCCTCGATCTCGCCGCTCCTCGGCCTCAGGCCAGCCCCCTTGGCGCAGCCCCAGCGGCGGCGGGCTTCTTGGGGCGGGGGCGGGAAGCGCCCGCGGCCCCGCCCGCGCGGCCTGGGCGGGGCCTCGCGGGGCAAGAGCCCTGGGGCCCGGAGCGGCGCCGGGCCTGGGGCACGAGGCGGTGGTCCGCTCGGGCGTCGAGTCATGGGAGGACGATGGCTCGCAGGAGGAGGCTGTGCCCATATACCTACCTCCTCGCTCGTTTTCAAATGTTTGGGCCCCCCTGGGAGGCCCCCGTCGCCACCGCTGTATTCGTATCGAAATATTGGTCAGAACGCACCCCAGGAGAGGTCTGGGGGGCAGCGGTATCGGTACATGTTGGTTTCGGTACCTTTTGGTTCCCAAATATCTGGGGGTCGAAGGAAGGTACGCTTGTGGATGCCATGACAATGGACACCCTAACAGCCCGATTGTTGAATTTACACATGTGTTGAACATTTTGGAATATGTTCAAACATGTTCACATGGTTAAGACATGCTTAAGACATGTTGTAGACATGTGGAAATGACTTGGCAACATGCTTTCCTCTCCGTTGATCGTCGTCCACAGAGGTACGCCTTCTGTGCCCCAGAGTGGCCCCCCCAGTGCCCCCCAGAGGGGCACGCTGCTCCGCCCCCAGTCTGTGGCGCTCCCCCAGCCAGCGAGCGCCCCCTCCGCGTGCCGGTCGGTGTGCGCCGTGCCGCGGGCACGAGGGTTGCCGAGAGCAGCCTCTTGCTCTAAGTCGGGCCTGTCCCTCTACAAGGGGAGTATCCAAAAATAGTCAAGAAATAGTCAGGGGATGATTTTTGGACTATTTCTGATTTTTTGGGGAAATGTTTCACATTTTTGCATGTTTCGCCCAAAATCCGTAAGGGGACAGGCCCGACCTCACTCCAGCTTTGGAATCGGGGGAGGAAAAACCACCCGGGCCCCGACCAGTGGCGTTTACTAAGCGGCCTTGGGCGTTTACCAAACAGCCCTGCCCTCTTCGATTCCTTCTCTGGGCGCGTTTACTGAACGGCTTCGCTTGTCGGAGGGATTCTTATGGCGGGGGACTTTCTGCCCTCTCTGGAAGGGTACCCTCCTGCTCTCCGCGCTTGGACCCTCGGCCTTGGGGGGGTTCGTCGCTTGGGGCATCTCGCTGTGGCGCGTGGGCCTTGGCGGATGCGGCTACGGCCCTTCCCTCGTCGCCACGCCTGGTTTCGCATCGAAGTCCTAGTCAGAGCGCATCCCCGGGGAAGTCCAGGGGGTGGGCTTGTTGTCCACCACCACCATAAGTTGGATGGGGGGACGGGGGAGGAGGGCGAGGAGGAGGAGGAGGAGGAGGAGGAGGAGGAGGAGGAGGAGGAGGAGCACGAAGATGAGGAGGAGAGATGGAGGAGGTGGAGGTGGAGGCGGAGGAGGAGGAGGAGGAGGAGGAGAAGGAGGAGGAGGAGGAGGAGGAGGAGGAGGAGGAGGACCCCCTCCCCCTCCAACTTATGGTGGTGGTGGTGGAAAACAGACCCATCACCAGGGGGGGTCAGCGGCCGACGCCGCTGCCCTTCCCGCGTCGGCCACGGCGGTGCGCGCCCCGGCGTCCTGACCAGGGCGCGCCCCTGGAGAGGCCCATGGAGTGGCGGCATCGGCACCGATACTTCTCGTTGTTGTTGGGGGCCGGGGGGGTGAGATCGAAGTGGAACGGAGAGCACCCCACCGGGAAGTCGGTTTCGGTTTCGCGCTCGTGCGTGCCGCGCGTGCGGGCGAAGCTGCGTGGGCGGGCGAGAGGAAAGTCTCCTGTGGCTGAGGCGCGGCCAGACCAAATGATTCTCCCTCTGGCAAGCGGTGGCCCGCGGTGTCCCGCCGGTGTCCCGCCCGTGTCCCGCTTGTGGTTGGGTCCCAGCCAGACCAAATGATTCTCCCTCCGGCAAGCGGTGGCCCGCGGTGTCCCGCCGGTGTCCCGCCGGTGTCCCGCCAGTGTCCCGGTGTCCCGCTGGTGCGAAACCGATAGTGAGACCGATGACGAAATCGATTGTGAGATCGATAGTGAGATCGATAGTGAGACCGATAGTGAGATCGATCGTGAGATCGATAGTGAGATCGATAGTGAGATGAATAGTGATATCGATTGTGAGATCGAGTGACATCGATAGGGAGATCGTTAGTGGGATCGATAGCGAGATCCACGGTGAGATCGACAGTGCAATCGATCGAGTGAGTCGATGGTTCCATCGATCGTGAGACCGATAACGACATCGCTTGTGAGATCGATAGAGAGATCGATTGTGAGATCGATGGTGAGATCGATCGTGAGACTGGTAACGATAACGACATTTCTTGTGAGATCGATAGAGAGATCGATCACGTGGTGCAATTTCACGCCGCACCGAGGCCCCTGGAGGCCGCAGCGAAGGCCCAAGCCCTTGCAAAATGAACGACGTAAATTGCTATTTCGTTGGTTCCTGGGGGGGAGAAAGATACCAAGGCGCCCAAGAGCGAAGGATGCTGTAAACAACTCGATACCAAGGCTCCCAAGAGCGAGCGGCAACACAACAATCACCTTTGTTGTCCATTGCTGGTCCCCTTCCCCCCCCCCCAACCTCCTTATCACCCGCAGGTTGGTCGTATAGGTATGGATTGTTGTTGTTTTCTTGTTCTACGTATGCTGTTGACTGTTGTGTGCTTGTTGTGTATTGTTGGTGTTGTTGTTGCTAGTGGTGTGTGTTGGTGGTGGTGGTGTTGCTGTTGATGTTGATGTTGTTGATGTTGCTGTTGCTGTTGCTGTTGCTGTTGCTGTTGCTGCTGTTGCTGTTGCTGTTGCTGCTGTTGTCGTTTTCGCTGTTGTCGTCGTCGTTGCCGTTGTTGCTGCTTGCTGCTTCCTGTATGTTCCGTCCGCGGCCCCACGGGCCCCTTCGGGCCCCTCGCCCCGAACCACTGCTCGATGGCCCCCGGGCCCGACCCCAGGCCCCCGAGGCCGCACGGGGAGGACGGCGCCCAGGCTGCAGAGATCCCGGCGTCGGAGCTTGCGGTCCTCGTACGTCCCCCCGGGAGCGGGGGGCTGCCCACCCCTCGGGGCTCCAGAGGCGGGGGGGTCCATGCAGGCGGGGGTCAGCCAGAGCGCCGGGTCTTGCAGGAGCCAAGGTCGCATTGACCCGGACGTGTGGGCGCAGGATCCTGCAGGACCCTGCAGGATCCTGGAGGGCCAGGGTCGCATGGACCCGGGCTTGGGTGCAGGGTCCTGCAGGGTCCTGCAGGGCCCTGCAAGGCCTGACTGGCCCGGGTTTGGATGGGCCCGGGTCAGAGGATCCCCGAACCCTATCTTCGCCCTTGGCCGTGGCCTCCTGGGGGGTGGGGGGAAGAGGGGGGGGGTCTCAAGCGAAAGAGAGAGCTCGGGCGCCAGCTGGGCTTCTCGAGAGCCCGCGGGCCGAGCCACCTGGGGGGGGGGGGCTCCCTGTTG